ACAGACACTAAACTTCCCTGTGCTTCTGCGACACTAAGCAAGCCAAGGCACTGAGCATGAATAGTACAGGTGTCCTAAAAGGTTCGGTTACAGCCCTGCCCCTGCACTGTAAGGGGGCCTCGGGTGTTGGCTCACGGTGCAGAGCTGTGGTGGAAACGAGCATGGTACAGGCTAGTCAGGATTTGAAATTACAACAAATGTTGTATTCCACCACAGTATTTTCTAAGCTAGTTCTAACCTAACCCACAGGGTCTGATGGCATGGCCTGACTTGTATACTAAATTGTTTCCATATATACATGCTTTTATCTATTAGAGATTTGCAGTGTATTTTCTTAGGTCCCGTGTTAGTCACTGATCAAAAGAGACACTGCTTAATCTGATCCAAAGTCCTTACAGTAACTTAAATATCATTTTATTATACAGTTTATTCTATTTGGTGGATATTAAATTGCACAAGGACCTTTTAAATGCCAGCTCAGACCATTCACAGTGTCCAAAACTGATTATTTAAGTAATGTCTCCAATGTGATTAAAGGTGAAAATCATCATAACAGCGAAAATATTATTGCAATGACCATTCCCATGCAAACTACCATGTGCCAAAACATCCTGATGCTTCATCAAAGGCCTTGGGGACCAAGGTTCTTTCAATACACCTGATTGTTAAGACCAACAGAGAGATTCTTGCATAGTCTGAAATCTCTGGGTTAGGCCCAACATTCCAGAAGGTTTCCTGTATTTTTTTTATTCTCATCAGGTAGAAAACAAAAAGCAAAGATTCATCTCCCAGCACACTTTATTCCTCAAAGATTTCAGAAAATACAAGGCTTTGGACTGAGCTCAAGATCTATTCTGGGATCTTAATAAAGATTCACACAAGAAACCAGAGTGCGTAGAGACCTACTGCAAATGCATTCAGGAAACTGGCTTGGCCTCTGTCAAAACTACTTAAGGGAACTGAATTTTTAAATTAACCTGAAGCAGAGCATGTAATGTTGTTAGTCCTGTGTAAACAGAGATTATTTTCTTATTAGAGTATTAATTCTCAGAAGTGGAGAGGAAGATAAAAAAATAAACCTACCTGCAGTAACTGTTTAGTCCTGCAGTGCTTACGCACAAAAGCAGTTGTCTGAATGAGTAATCCCACCAATTTTAGCTAGGATTTACACACCATACCCTGAATTAGATATGTCTAAATCAACTCAAGTGTGTATCCATAGAGCTAGAGGGAGATTTGATTGTTTTTCTTTTAGTTTTTAATAAGATTCTATGACTTTTCAACCTGAGGTAGAATTCCTAATATTTTACATGACATCCTAACTCCACTGAAGTCAATGGCAATTTTCAAATTTACTTCAGTGTTACTTGAGCTTCCCCTTTTGTACTTTACAAGTTACTTTTCTGTACAAGACAGAAAAACTTAAGAGGTCAATTTTCTGAACTGGGGGTTATTTTATTCCCTTTCTGCAAATATTTACTGAGTCATGGAACTAGTTTATAAGAGATTCCAACTCTACCTTATTCTAGCATTACAGCAAATATCTTTCCTACCAAGATGATACTACTTTAATCTTGGTTTAAAACAGAAATGATGTGTGATTTGGGGGAAGAGTCAGCATCTTCACTTTTTTCCTTTGAGCTAGGAGTATAATCTACCTGTTTATAACATATCCTAGACAAAGCCCCACTGGTCTGAATACACATTTACATCTGTCTTTAGTGACAATCTTGCAACTTTCACCTTCACAGTACTGCAAACTTTAAATTTCAATAAATTTGCACCTCTAAAATGTTTAGACAAGCTTAAAATTAATACTTTCCTAAAGTTTTTTTCACCTAAAAGTTTTACTTTCTGATTTGTAAGCCATTCTGGCTCAGATCAGATTGCTATAAAGGTTAGTGATTTACCACTCCACATTTGAAATAGAAATCTATAGGCAAAAAAAAAAAAAAAAAGATGTGTAAAGTGCATAGTTAGTTTATATTTTTATACTCACAACTTTGAATGAATTACGTGCTTTTTTATAACTGCTGTGGTGCTGCATTGTACTTACAGTCATGTTAAGAGTTTATAGAAATGCCTAAAAGCCTGTCGGGCACAAAACCCAGTAGTGCCTGTCAACTTATAAACCTGGTGGTATGGAAGAGTGATCACTAACACTATTAGAAACAATCATAGGAAAGAGAGAAACCAAACTTACTGAGTATTGGATGCTGTTGATTTCATGAACATAGCTAATAGAGCAGGAGGAAAGGAGATTGTTATACTTCTCAGTATCTTAAATTTTATTTGACACCTTTCAAGAAACTCAGGAAAATTATTGCGATTATTTCTCAAAGGCTTGAAGAATGAAGGGGATCAAAACTGTCAACCTTTTTTTGCCTTTTAAAACTTTCCCTGCAACAGCAGATGCTTTGGACTTGATTGAAAACATAAAATGCAGACACGTTTCAGTGGAAGCTATAGAAACATTATAAAAACAGACATAGTTAGTCTGATAACACTTTACCTCAATGTTTATATATTACAACTGCAAAATTTCTACTTACACAGTGGGTTTTTTTGTCCTTACAAGAATGTCATTCATAAAGACATTACGATACAGACTTTATATGATCATTTACTATCTTCCCATTAGGCCCTGTTCCTCCTTTCCTGAAAATCACTTGGACTGCTCTTCGAATATAACCATTCATTTTTGTTGCCCACAATTCTACAAAATATATGTTACACTAATATTAACTGATTCTATTTTTCACTGCACCTTTTTGGGAGAGTGGTACTATATTTTTCCCATTTGCAGATAGGAACCTGACACAGAGGAAAAAAGGACAAAAGCACCCATTCAGTGTCCAGCATGATGTACCTAAGACCTCACATCGTGAAGTCAGCAAAGGCTCAGCATTTCGTAGCACATGATGTTTTCCAAATACAGCTTCCATTGATTTTAGCTGCAGTTGTGATTATTCAACATTTCAACAGTAGAGTAAGGTTTCAGAAAAATATGAAACACATGACCAAGTATGAAAAATTAGCTTACATAATTTGCAGAACATACATTAAATACTGTGTAGCACAAGTAGGTCTAGACTCTGATTAACATAGAGACACCCAGTTGTCTTAAGAGATTTTCTTTCTTTTCTTGTAGTGTTCTGACAAATTCACTATATGTATGTAAAAATATGTGTGTGTGTACACACACACACACACACACACATACATACATGTGTGCCTCTGTGTGTATGTTCATGTGCCAAGTGAAATAGGGCCATATACACAACAATTGTCTTGGCTCCACAGCCCAATTCAACTCACAATTAAGTATGCTCAGAAAAAAACATGTGATTGTGTCATTAAATCTTTTTCACAATGAACAATGGGGCCAAAGTAAAGTAAAATTTTTAGATTTGAATGCAGGGATCAGTATGGAAGTCTTTCTTTTCACATAATTCTTTCATACTTTGTTAAAAAGTAACATTACTATTATTAAAGAAGTGTCAAAGTCTGATACTATAGACCCCTTCAGAAGAGATGGAACGTTTCCCGCCCTTACACAGGACATTACCACTTCCCAGTGGCTGATCACTAGTAGGTAGTCACCACTTACCTAGTCAGTGCTAGAAGTAATGAAGCTATGCCTGAAGGCTTCATCCATGTTTCTGCAATAATTATACTGAGATTCAATGATCATGAGATCACGTTCACTTGGGGAAAGATCTTGATCTAACCCCAAATATTTGGGTCAGATGTCCCTAGAAGCCCTCCAGATCAGTTTCCCCCCTCCATTTCCTCAGGATATGTCACTCAATGCCGCAGCCCTGCCACTATTAGGTAGAGCCCATTGGCTCAACCCAGGGTCCTGTTGCCTTAAGATGGGGTACCATCACCTCAAGGTGGGTCACTGTCACCTCAGTCTGCGGTACCATCTCCTCAACCTAAGTCACCAGCACCTCCATATGGGCCTCCAGCACATCAACCAGGAGTGCAATCATTCCAACCTGGGGCACCATCATCTCAGTCTGGGGCACTGTTACCCCAACGTGAAAAACCATCACCTCAGCATGGAGCCTCATTGCTTCAACCTGGGACCCTGTTATGTCAACCTGGGATGCCATCGCCTCAAAATGGAGTGCCAGCACTTCAACCTGGGGCAGTTATGTCAACCTGAGGCTCAGTCACCTCAGCATGTAGCCCCATCACCTCAACCTGGGGCACTATCACCTCAGCATGGGGCCCTACCACCACAGCCCAGAGCTCCATCACCTCAGCGTGGAGCCCCATCACGTCAACCTGAGGCACCCTCACCTCAGCATATGACCACACCACCTGAACCGAGAGCCTTATCTGGGGACCATCACCTCGACTTGGGATACTTTCACCTCAGCATGCAGCCCCATCACCTCAACCTGGCGCACCACCACGTCAACCTGAGGCACTATCACCTCAACCTGCAGCCCCCATCACTTCAGCCTGGGGACCATCATCTCAACTTGGGGCACTATTACCTCAGCATGGGGCGCCATCTCCTCAGCGAGAGTCCCAGCTTTCTCCCCTCTTCTTGTGGAGACGAGAGAGGTGGGGAGAGAAGTGGAGAGTCGGTTCTTGAGGGGGCCGGGAAGGCAGCCGGGGGTCAGGAGCTGCCATTGGGAACCATGAACGAGGGGGCCAAAGTAAAGTTGAATTTTTAGCTTTGAATGCGTGGATCAGCAATCTGGAAGTCTTTCTTTTCACATAAGTCTCTTCTACTTTGTTAAAAAGTAACATTACTATTATTAAAGAAACGCCAAAGCCTGGCGCCGCAACTGACCACTTCGGAAGAGGGAGGTCCCGGCCCTCGGCTGCCTTCCCGCCCCTCTCAGGCACCGCCTTTCCCCGCCCGACGACGCGCGGGGGCCGGCTCGGGCTGCGGCGGAGCCTGCCATCGGGACGGCGGCCGCAGCGTTGCGCGGCTCCGGCTTCTCTTTCTCTCTCCTGTGCGTGTGAGTATCCGCCGCGGCTGCCTGCGAGGTTACCACAACAAAGCCGGAGGGGGAGGCGGCGGCGGCGGCTGCTGCTGCTTCCCGGGGACTGCTGGCCCGGCCCGGCCCGGCCCGGCCCGGCCCGGCGGCGGGGCCTCCTCCCCGCGGAAGGTGCCCGGAGAGCGGGTGTGTGGCGGTTGGGGGGCGGCGGGAGGGGCAATAGGTATTTCCCCTCCCCGCCTGTGGTAATTTTTTGCCAGACCCGACAAGGTGAGAGACGTGTTTTGTTTTTATATATGAGTATATATATCATTTTAAAATTCATTATGTAATTTATATTTTTATTATTTTAAAATGTGTTGCCTTTCTCCTCGGGTCTCTGCCTGAGCAACAGGGACCCAAGGCGACAGGGACACGTAGATGTCTCCCAGGCATGTCGCACACGCCGTATTGGGAGGGCTTCGGCTGGCGTTGAGCTGCCAAGTTCAGTCGCGCCACTGTGAGACGTATTTCATGCCCCGCTTCTGTGCGGCGCCTGCCGCCTTTGCTCCTCGAGGGGATGGGGAAAGAGGTGGGAGATTTTCTTCTGAGCCACTGGCCCTTGTTGGCATCGTAGTCGTCAGCTTTGGGACCGAGTTACTGTGTCGTGTGCCATCCCTAAAGTTACTGTACAAGGAGGGACATGTTGTAGCAGTGCTTAAATAGAATTTAGTGAGGTGTTTTAGTTGGGTGTAATTAATGGCAATTAAGTCAACCGAAACGTTCGTTGTAAAGAGCTTGCCTTGAGCATCTTAAATTGTCGCAGTGGTCACGTTTCTGTAGTTTCCTCAGGATGACAGTATTGTAACTCCCCCTGCCCTGCACAGGGCTGTGTTCTGCACAAACAATTCCCAAGGGAATTGTAGTTTGGGAAATAACCAACCACGGAATCTCTTGGCCCCTGTGGATTTGTGTGGAAATCACAAGAGGTAGCTGTAAATCCCGGGCCTTTCTTGACTGCCGGTTGTGCAGCCCCTGCAGCAGAGCAGAGTCCTGAACTCATTCCAAAGAATCTCACTGAGCTGATACAACCAACAGCAATGTATGTCATACTTGTGAAACTTTGGGGTTTTTTGGCATTTTCGCAGTATGTTAGGGAAATTGGCATTTTAAAATATAGTTTAGCATGCCTTCTGGCACAGCCTAATTTAACGTCATGTAACTTCTGTGCCTTGCTACAGGTTTTCCCTTGCAGTTCTGTTAAACACAATTTTTCAGAAACTGGTTTTATTATAGTATGCAACTGTTTACACTTTTTAATTTTTACTATAAAACACACATAAAAAGCATCTAGTGTTTTCATTTGGACATGTATGTATTTAAAAATTGTGTGGTTAAAATTTCTATGCAGCGTTCATAGAAGCAGCAGGAAAACTATGTGGGATGGAATTAATATAACAGAAATAGCAGTGCTAAATTTCTTTTGTATCCCTGCTTTTGTCTGTTATGAGGTGCTTAATATAGAGCATAGTGTACAGTTTTGCTTCTATGAAAAAATATTTAATATCTTTTTTTTTTTAATAGCAATTGCTGGGGTTGTCAATGGAGAGAAAACAAAGTTTCACAAAGTTAAATTCTTCAGAGGAGCTCTTTGAAAACTAAGATGAAGTCATCATTACTAGAAAATTAATCACTGGATGTTAGCTTAAGAATGGATTTGTGAAATAATTGGCATCTAAAAATACAGTTTGCAAAAATTTGGAATTGGCTTTTTGAATGTCTCAAGGTCTCTGACTACTTTCTCCTTTTTTTTTTTTTTTTTTGTAGTGAGTATGTTGTTCCTTTGTATTTTCTCAGCCTAGATAATCCTTGTAATGATATAGAATAGAGACCAGGAAAGGAACAAACAAATGATTTGGGGACATTCTATTCCTTTTTTGGAGACTTAAAGCTTTTATGTCCTCCTGGGATTTTTACTCTGGTTTTGTGCTTGCCCATGTTTAACAGGGCATTCAGACGGTCCCATCTTTCTGTGTAAGTTGTACATGGGCTCAGAAGCTATTGAGACTTCAGAGCCTGTTGAGGCTTTAAAAGCGCAGTGGGCCGATCCCTTTAGAGGCTCGACCCAGCAGCATGTACAGGTGCCTCTCTAAGGAGTCTTTCAAAATTTGCAGCATAGGTGGTACATGATCTTCTGTAGCATAGGTGACAGGAGCATCTACAAGTCTTTTAAAGTCAGCCCACTGGATGACATAATAATACACCTGAAGCTTAGAGGTGAGAGTCTGAAAGTGAGCTGGCCTCTAGGTGAGTCAAGGTACCTCCTTAAATTCGTGGGAGATGGGCAGACCGTTATTAGGAAGGAAGTACCTTAGTGCTTCCACTAGTTACTTTTTAAAACTTCTTAATTCTTTGCTTCCTGGTCTTAGGCTCAACCAAGACTGGTGATGGAATGATCTAAAACGTAACCTACATTCCTTGACTATAGTTCTTCCCATCCAAGAATCTCAACTGACGTTTAAGTCACAATTCAATGATAGATATTTATAATTCTTGAAGTGTTTAATTTTAATAACATAACAAACACTGGAACTCCAGGAAACCCATATTGTGTTGAATTTAAGAAAGAGCCTTATCTGACAGCGTTTTATATGCTTTTTCATACTGATAGTTCTCATCTGAAGAAATGAACAAGTCATAAAAATCTAATGCAAGAGAGGATTTCAAGAGGCCTTCACCACATTTGCCCCAACACATATTCTGAGGAAACATAAAAATAATTGGACTAGTCCTAAGTGATATTTGTTTAAGCTCATTGTGTACTGATTTAGTGGCTGAATTGCTGCACTTCACCCTGCTCATCTGCACCAGACAGTGCTTATTCCTCTTACATATAAATATATTCACTGAAAATTAAAAGAATTGCATCTCATTTTCAGTGGCTGTGGAGAATGCGATCGCTCTCTGTAAAACTGTACTTTCCAAACTGTGATAATAGGTGTCATCTTGCGGTCACAAAACTCTTATTTATTTGATCTGTGTGGAAGTACGTCTATGCAAAGTGTTGAGGGAAATGCTGATGGCATGCCTATTTGTGCAGTCAGGTCACAAAGCTCACGAAATCCATAACATTAGAAGCATGAACAGACTTCTAGTTCAGTGAGAATTTCTGTTGTTGGAGAGAGTCTGTGTGTTGTGCCACTTAGGTGGGCTGGTATTCTGGGTTATGCTGTGATTTATCTGCTGCTGAATTCTGCCAGTAGTTTGTGAAATCATATAGTTGCTTCCTTTCTGATCCTGTGATCTACTTCAGAACTGGCAGTCACATGCAGAACATGCTGAGGTTAAATGGCATGTGCAACAGCATAGATGGTCAGCTTTTGGATAAAAGTTTCAATGCTCTTGAACTCTCCAGTAGCACATGGCTGTCTGTAGATTCTAAGCATTTCTGGGCCATACTTCTACTGTGTGTCCTGAATGAGGCAGGAGCACAGACTGGACACAGCTGGCCTGTTACGAGGTGAGAGTAGGGGGAAAGTTACTGTACAATTATTCCACCAATATTTGTTGTTTCTCTTTTACTTTTGCACTGTGATGAAAAAGGGGTTTCATGCCTCCATGTAGTTTCAAATGCGGAATGATCGGTGATGTTTTGAGAGCTTGAAGATGTACATGGAGACTTTTGCTGAGGTCTGGGCCACCCTTGGGCTGTACTCCTTGAGGCAGTTGATCAACATAGAAGCATTGCTTACATGAAGTGGGGGGAAGTGGTGTATCCATTGTCATTTGGAAGGTGGCAATACCTGACTCCCAACAATTTGCAGCAGCTGCTTGAATTAGTCTTAGCAGATCCCAAGAGATCTGATGTTTGAGTGGTGTGTTTGGAGCTGAAGGAAGGCACGCACAGGTAGGCACCCAATTGGTGCTCCACAATGATGGCATATGTAACTCCAGCCTTTATGTGGCAGATATGCTGAAATTTTGCTTTAATAAGAGGAATTGTTTTCATTTTTCTCACATACCATCATGGACTACTGTGCCAGATTCACCCTCTTCAGATGTGGATAGCCTGGTTGGATGCACATTGCCCCAATATTTAAATCTTAATATCAGGCAGAAATACTCTTACATACACATGAGTACAGCAGGAGTAAGAAAACTCAGCTTCCTTTTACCTTGTTCTTCACCCTCAATATCTGGCAGTAGAGTCTTATTTTCTGGGCTTTTTGTACCTGTATACAAATAACTTTGCTGCCAGGAACTGTTCAACATCTGTCTATGTTATCAAAAGACTGGCTACAGGTCACTGTTGGGAAGGGACAATGACCAGTTTCCCCCTAGCATCTTGCTGTCTTTTGGTCCCTGAAGTAGCTGGACATAGGACTCTTCCAGGTGGTGAGAAACAGTGAATGGCAGTGGGCTTGTGCGACATTTATGTGGGTGGTGTCACTTAGGCTTGTAGAGATGGAGGGCCTTATGAAGGAAATCTTTCCAGAAGCTGCTGATGCTTTTATCAAAAGACACGATTCTTTGTCTTTATTTCTGATTTGGATTGTAAGCTACTTCTCTTCCCTCTGGGTTTGGAGGGTTTGCTGGTCATTTTCTTTGGATTCTCAGCAATGAGTGAGTAGCTGTGACCTGTTTAGATAGGCCTGATGGGCATCATCACTCCTGTAATTTAACCTCAGTAGTCTCTGACCCAGCCTTTCTGCTCCTGAAGTCACAAGGTGACCTTTACTGAAGAGCAAACATCTAATGTGTGTGTATGAGTGAAGTCCTAGAGCTACAGATCCACGCCTCTCAGCATAATGTATTGCAGCTTTTTATAGTAGGGGAATGGCATATTTTTGGCTCAAGAGGAACGACTTTTTCTTTTTTTTTTTTTTTTTCTTTCTCCTCCCTAGTACATTAACTTGAAAGCCTTTGCCCTGCAGTCAGCTAGGGCTCTCTGGTGGTCATGTGCTTTCGTTTGCTCTAACAGATGATGGCAATTGACTGTTCCAGGACTTTCTAGTGCCCATTTGCTGAATTGGATCCTTGCTTGAGCTAGCCAGGAGACTCAGTGCTTTCTGCTAGAATCCTTTTAAAAGGACTCCAAAGTATTCTGGAGCATCTCCAGTGGGCCTACCTCTGTTTGGAAACAGAACTGCTGTTCTGAGGGCTAACCTGTCATAGGTTTGCGAGTTACTAAACCGTATCTTGTATCATACAGGGAAAAATATTTTCCTTTGTGTCTGTCAGAGAAATTCAGGGCAAAAACCAAACCAAAAAGAGAAAACAAAAAGAACAAG